TTTTATAGATTCATAATTACATTAACTAAAGTTGACAGTTTTGTGTAAATTATCAGTTAGAAATAGTTTTTGACAGAATGAATAAAAAAGTAATAAAATTTCTTGGAGATTTTAATTTTAAATGTTGTGATTTTTGAATACTTCAACCACTTCATAGCAATTATGAATTAAGCATTATATGCTTTGCCATATAACGTTTTTAAAAAAGAGAAATTGTTTTAAGACTTGTGATTTAATATTTTGTACTTTGTTTACCTCAATGAAACGAACAATATTAAGTGAATAATAAAAGTTATTGAAGGTCGGCTATCAGAGTAGAGCACTAATTATTGAAATATTATCGTTATCTCTATCGTTATACAACCATTCTGATATTAACTATTATCAAGGCGAAAACTATATCCTTTTAAACAGGTAATTTTATAAAGAATAATTTTTAATCAAAATAATACGCGTAAATTAGAAAACACAAATTGGAAATAAATTTTTCATTTGTTAAATTCGACAAGGATATTTGAGACTGATAAATTGTTAAAATGATCAAATTAAAGTCATTAAATTTGACCTAAAAATAATTTATAATTATTTATTTCAATGAACAAACTCAATTTGATTAATGAAAAGTTCTTTTTCAAATCAAATCTATTTATTTAAAATAAATGGCACTTTTGCGAGAAAAAAAGTGAAATTGAAAAAATGTATCAAAATCAAAATGATTAATATTATGTATTTCATTGGTAGATGCTATCGCAGAAAAAGGAATTAGATATTTATTAAATCAGTACAGAGCAAATTTTTGCAGAACTCATTTTGGTGCAGTATCGGATGGTGATCGTTTTAAGATTATTTATAAAATAACAAAACCACCAGAAAATGGTACATTGTATTGGGTAGCTGGAGAACAAGAAGTACGTGTTTTTACGCAACATGACATTGATGAAGAACGCATACTGTATGCACAACGTAATATGCAAGCATTTCAGGTTACATTTGCTAATGCACAAATATATTCAAAATTTTTATTTAATTTAAATATCAGCAAAATATATTTATTTTTAAATTAAATTTTTAGTAAAAAATGTTGATTTTATGATTTTTGCAAAACTGAATGTGTACTATTGAAGCTACTGATTGAATTAATTAAAGAAAAAGAGTTTAATCCAAGTTTGAATTTTCAGGATCGATTTGAATTTAGTGTTGAGAATGAATTTAATGATAAAGTTCATAGTACGACATATGTACGTATAATTCCAGTATTTCATCCACGTACACTTGTTACAGATGCTAATTATATCACGCCCATTAGTGATGCACATCTAAATGCATCCATTATAAAAGTAAACTATTAAAAATTACAGTGTTAATCATTTAAAGATTGTCAATCATTTACTTATAGAATAAAGTTTTTTTTAGAATTCTAATCCACGTTTTTACGTAACAGAACCACCACATTTTGGAAGCTTGGTAATTAGTCCAAATATCAACAAATCAGTAGATTTTTTCACTTATGATGATATTATGAATAAGCTGCTATTCTATATATCTAATAAAACTGAATCTTTGGTACTTGATTTTGCTGAATTACAGTTAGATGCTGATAACGTTCAACCATCTAGATTCAGGTCTTGTTTTTCTTCTGAGATAGGTATTTTGCACGTCTATAAAAGACAAAATTTACTATAGAAAATACTCAACAAAAGTTTCAAAAAGTGAAACTAATGCGAAATTTGTTTTTATTATTTTGTTGTTTAATTCTCTTTCCCTATTTATGTTTTTGTCAATCAAGTTTCATTGATTTGGTTTCAGAATCTGAACTCATTTTATCTAGCATACATTCATAATTCGAAACGTGTATTTTGCAGATTTAATATCGAAGTTCATCCATCTTCTGCAATAAATTACATAGCTCCTATTGATAAAGAAATGAATGCCTCAATATTACCTGATTTTTCTCGATCATCGCTGCTGCCATCAATAAAATCATTGTTACTTTATTTGCCAATTACATTGTTTTTTTCCATTTTGGTTGTATTTGCAATTGTTATTATATTTCGACGGCATTCAAAGAATCAAAAACAAAAACGTTTGGAGGCTGCTCGAAAAAAACGCGAATTTGACGCAAGAATGAATACAAATCTGGAAAAAAAGTCTAATTTACTTAGTTCAACAGTAAGTAATATTTACAAATCTTCTCATAATTTACTTTTAAAATAATCAATTTTAAGTCAATGTTAACTTATGCAATAATAATGCTACATGAGGATAAATTGTTACTTTTCCAATAAGTGTCGCTTTAAATTTAATGAAGTTTATGAATATTAAAGAAACTTGAAACTAAAATTAAAAAATTAATGCTTAATACAATCAAAATTTTAGAAGCAGTTATTTCAAACTGTGTTTTATATTTATTTGAATTATTGTTAATAATTCCTAATTCTTTTCATAGTTATTTTCATTTTTTGTACAGTAGCATTTAAATTAAATTTTTTCATGGTTTTTTTAACTTGATTGCATTTTCACTAAAGAAAAAAATTTTAAATATAAAATACATGCCTACAAAAGTGCAACGATTTTTCATAATTAATTTTTTGTAAATTAAGCAATTCTTTTTAATTTTTCTATGATAATATGTTAAAATAAATATGCTCAAAATTTTTATCATATAAAAAGTATTTTATTTTTATTTTAAAAAAAAGGAGATTAGCAGGTTTATGCTACAGTTGGACGTAGTCGTCATGAATCTTTTGATAAAAGACCTCAACGTGCATTGCAAACGTTTGATGGTTCAAAGCGTCCTGAATCACTAATTTCATCGTCTCCAAGAGGAAAAGCTCAATCTCGAGGATTTTCATCTGCTTCGTTAGATTATCAAGCGGCAAGTTCCCATAATACTCCCGAACCTACACGATCGAGAGCTGATAGATACCATTCCACAAAGTTAAAAGAAAACCAGTATTGGGTATAACAAACTTATGTATGAATGTTTTTTGCTAATTTTTCTTAGATTAACTATTTTGCTCAGATGTATTTGAACTATGAATTATTTGTTTTCATTCAAATGTGAAGTAAATATTAATTTTACTTAAATTTGAAAAAATTTTAATAAAAGACAAAATTAATTGCACAGAAAACCACTATTATTTGAAAATTTAATTTTTAGAGCGATTCGCTTTCTTTGTTTTCAAACACTGCTGCTCAATTTGATATGTTGTTGATTGTACTCGAATGTTTATTTGACATATTTTCTTGATCTCGAGAACTAATCCAATAAAGCATTAAGCAGTAAATGTGAATCACAGCAATACTTTAGTCATTTTCTATTAAAGTAAGTTTAGAGAAGTATTCATCCAATTTGATCAATTTGATCTATTTTTTTTAACCTTAAACCTTACTCAGAATGCATTAACTAAGTTCTTGAAATCCTAAGAACGAAAAATCATGTTTCACATCATGTTTTGTCTGCATTCAACAGAAAACAGCCATTCATTGAATGAATTGTTGAAAAAAGTGTTGCGGAATTTAAGCTTAAGCTTACAACACTTATACTAACTCGACAACACATAATTTATAAATAAATTCATTACAGCTATGACGATTAATACTTACATTAGTTTCATCTTTTAGTTTAATAGCTTTGCAAATTATTTATTTTGCTTTCTGAAATTTCAAGCTTTTATAGACATCTTTTAATGTAATCTGTTTGTATATACAAAACTTTTCTCAGGTCGAATAATTGATGCACTACGAGCTTATCACAATACAATGAATTTTCCTTATTTGCATATGCAAAATTATATAGCCAATGAAGAAGTATTATTAATCAGTGATAACTTTTTCAGTTTTTGTTCAACAAAACTCTTTTAATCGCTAATTTACTGCTATAGAAATTACTATCATTGTAATACTGTTTCGTCCAGCTTAAGTCCATATTTTTATTATCAAAAATCATGAGCAAACTTTTCGAAACCAACAACTGCATAAACAGAACAATTTGTATATTCAGTTGAGAATGCTGAGAAAGGATTAGAATCGTAGGATATAAAGCCAGTTTCAGTTAATCCATTGTTAGGTACATTTAAAACACTTGGTTTTATGCCAAAAACCTTACTGAAATTTGAATTTTTACGGTTTATAGATAAGAATGAATGAGCGTGTTTTCCTAATTATACAAGATTTTCTTGTTATTAAAGTGATTTGAAGTTATTGGAATAAGAATAGTCTTAATAAATGTAGTTTTTAATTATTAGTAAAGAATGCATATTCGTATAGTAAAAATAAATCTCAATGCTATAAATAGTTATAACACATTAGTATTGTTAGT